ACAGCCAGGTGCTATTCTCAGAGCTGGGCAGCTGACTCCTATTAGGCAGCTGGTTGATGAAAGGAAGCTGCCTGGAGTCAAGGCTGGGAATCACCTCCTGGATTGTCAGAGGCTCACTGGAAAGAAAAAGGAATATGGGTATGTACCCAGAAAAATCCAGGTATTTACAAATATTTTTCCTGTGTGATTTTTTCTGTCCTAACTTGACAGCAATGTTTTCTGCTGTGTAACTCTGCCTGTTCCAAGTATATTCAGAATTTATACTTAAAACAGAGTTTGCAGTTGTTGAACTCAAATATTTTTTTTTTCTGTGTGAAAAAATACTCTGATTTTCCTTTAAGCTTAAAAATGGCATATTTAGTTAGTATTTGATGCAAGTTTTTGGCTCAGTTCAGGACTATTAGTGTGTGTTTGACAGTAAGAGGATATTTGAGCTGGCTGTAACACCCACTCAGAAGGAGGAAACATTTTAAGCTAAATAAGGGTCCCAAATACTTGACCTTGGACATGTGGTACAGACAGAACACATACTGTGAGTAGAGGGGGGAAAAAAAAACCACCTCACAAATTCACTTAACTTTGCTGCTTATACCTTGCATTAAACTTTAGATATACTCTTTTGGCTATGGGAGAATGGTCTGGAAAACCTATGATACCTTTCTTTCCAAATTGAATCATAAATAAAATATACTTTTAGGGTTGCAAAATGTTTCTGGTTAGAAATTTGATTTAGAAAGACATTCTGTGAATACTGTCTCTTTCCTAAAAGTAAATGCAGAATCTGGATAGTAATTACAAGAATTAGGCTTGCTGGAGAGGATGGTTTAACTGGTAGCTGCAGTGTAAATTTTGTTTGCAGTTAATTTTGCTCATGGTTTTGGAGAGGCAACTGATAGTATCGATTCTTATTTCTAGCCAACAGACTAGTGACAAAAAGATGGGATTTTGAAAAAGTGGAGGATATCTAAAAATGCATCTTCTGTTTTCCATTAACTACCATATAAGCAAGAGTTACAGTTGACAGCGGAATGTGAGATGATGAAAGGGTATTCATAATCTGTACAGCACTATGTAGGTTTTTTAAATCAGACCTCCTGGTTCAGGTTGATCATATAAATAACTGTTTTTGCTAGAAAGCTATACATGTGGCATTTCAAGAAGTAAATTATTTGGTGTGCAGATACCCTTTGTACAGGAAATAGGTTCTATCAGATGATTGCAATGTGGCTTAGTTGCTCTTACGTCCTAGCAAAGGTTCACTGCTCTGGCAGACTCTTAACGTAGAATCTGAGACTGACAGGATTTAATGATAGAAGGAGAAAAGCGTGCCGGAGATCTTAACTTACCTGCCTCCTTGTGGGAGGGTAAGAATCCTTTTCCTTAAGTGACTGTAGTGGATTGAATGTTTGGTGACTGACCATTCGTTGTCCATCTGCTTGGAGGTGAGATTGGAAAATCTTCATTACATAATGCTCGAGAGATGGTTGTTTGATCTGAAATCCTCTACCAAGGCAAAAAGTTTTAAGTGTCTGTGTAGTTGGGAAATCATCAAGGGATCACTTCTGATAAGCTTGGGCTCTGGGCAGGCTGAACACTCATTTCAGTAACTCAGATTAAGATGTAGATGGAGGTCTGTTTTGGTAACTGCTTTTAAAGATGTTGTCTAATTCTTTTCCATATTGCTCTGCTAGTGCTTTCCTATATGGTTTTGGTTGGGGTTTTTTGTGGTGGTGGTGTTTTCTTTTTCTTTTAGTTGTGGGTGGGTTGAACAATGAGATCCTCATCATGCTGAAGGACTGATAGCTTGCTTCCTGTAGGGTTGGGTGAAGCTGAAGAAAAATTCTGGAGGGAGGATCAGTGAGTTTATGTGAAACCCTGAGGCAAGTTGGATGAGAACATGGGGCAGTCCCGCCTTTCAGAAATACTACATAGAGACACCAGAATTGTCCCCTCCTTTTCACCGACGCTGGGATGGCCAGGGATATCCATTACGCTTGTAGCCAGAATGATCTTGTGACAGGGAGTGTGTCGCTGACATATCTTGTGCTGTGGAGCTGTGGCTATTGGCCACTTTTCACATACTCTAAATTCTATCTGTTATCTGTATTCCAAAGGTAACCCGCCTGTAGACGGAAAATTTTGTCCCAGTGTAAACTTTGGGAGTTTACATGCCTGGTAATTAGCCCCTTGCAAATGGAGACTGGCTGAGTAAGCAGTGCATCCAAACACCTTGATGTTTTTCAGAAGGCCTTTGCCTTTTGGACTTTTATTTGGCAGCTATTGCAAAAGATCCAGCATGATTGCTTGTTTAAAAAATGAAAAAACACCAAAACGAAGAACGACCAACCCTACCCCCCAAAAACCCCCTGATGTTAGCTCAGCTAATGTAAATTCTCTAGGTGCCTAAAACCCAAAATGTAGACTGTTAAAGAGATTGTGTCTGCTGACCTCCCCTGGAAACGCTGCGGCATTCCCTGAGCACCTTGCTATGCCCAGGGTGGCACAGATCGTGTCGCTGAGCGGGCAGCTCACACTGATGACCTGTGAGGAGTAATGCACAACATTGCCCTGCTTAGCTTGCTAGCAGTGCTGAAACTGTAGTGTGGGCAGAAGATAACTGCACAGAAGGCTGCTCCCTCCCTTACAGTTTTGCAATACAACCATCCTGCCCTCCTCCCTGGCACAGGCAAACAAGGGAACAGGGAGAGAGGCCACAAGGACTGGGCGTGAAGGTTGGCTCGATGGCTCATCCAAGCAGGAGAGGAAAGGGAGAAAGTGTATATCTTGTGCATTGGGGAACATCCTTCCTGCCCCTCCTGGCTGGGTGTCCAGGGTGCCTGCCTGTGAGCCTCTCCTGTCCCACTATGGTTGGCATGTTCTAATACACTTCCTCCTGCTCTTCTGTGACGGCTTGGATAAAGCTGCTCTGTCCCTGGCTGCTCTGAGGCGGCCTGCTGCCCTTGCCTGTGACTCTGCTTACCCCAGGCAGCTGCTCACCCTGTAGCTCCTAGAGCTGCAGAATCTCTCCTGTTCAGCCCCGCTGCCACAAGTCCTTCTCACCTTCAGCCCGTTCTGTGCAGTGTCTCCCACTCGGCCAGTCTTTGCTCCTGTCAGCCACACATCAACTGCAGCACCGGCTGCTGCTGGGCACTTGATTTTGGGTGCATGTGTATGAGAGAGAGGGTGAAGAGCAGCAATCTTGATGCCACTGACTCTGCAGCTGGCACTACTGTTTTCAAGCTCTCCTTGTCTTCTGGCTTTGGCAGGCCAGGGCTGAGGCAGCTGCTGCTCCCATCTCCTCCTGTCACTGGTACTGTCAGGGCACTTTCAGCTCTTCCAGTCTGCTGCTGTCTGAGTCATGGCTCTCAAATGGAAGGCAGCCAAGACACTATCCTTTCCCCGGCTGTCTTAAGGTTTAAGTGGTTTTCTGCTCAAATGGACAGCTTCTAAGGCTCCCGCTTCTGGGGATCTAGCTGCCCCTGTGCCAGGAGTAGGGAACTGGATGACTGTAGATTGTATACAAGGAGGACATCATCCCTCAAACAGTCTTTGCCTGTTCAGATACAGGCTGGAATTTCTGAAAGGTCCCTGTGCTCAGCAGTTCCCTGCCGGCACAGCATGTGCAATGTTATTATGAAAGGATGCTCACAGTGCCTCAGATTGTGCATCAAGCCTCTGCCATGCATTCAAAATACAGGGATGATTTAATTTCAGTTTACCACAGAGGATGCAGAGGTGGGGTAAGGAAACTAACTCCCCCCCCCCCCCGCTGCCTTGGAAGGTTCTAGCAGGTGTGGTAACAGATGTAAGTCTGCTCATTTGGAAAAAATGTGACGTGCTACTGAGTCAGAATTTAGAGAACAGACCACAGGTTGGACGGAAAGAGGCCACTTCTTGAGGTGTGTATTACTTGTTGGTGGGAAATAATGCAGATCTAGGCTCTCCCATATTTTCATTACAATTCCTCAGGGAATGGAAGATGGCACAGTCCCTGCTGTATGTAAAAGAAAGCAAAGGGGAACAATGACTATATTGCATGTTAGAGAAGTTGTATGATTGCCTCTATTAATGAATAGAGCTAGTACAGCTGAGACCTCTTAGGACCAGGGTCACAACACCATCTTTAACTTCTCCTGCAACATAAATTAGATTAAGCTTCCAAAGCTGCATCTGTAGTAAGCTGTATCATTCTGTACATGATGCTGAGAAGTACTGTAATGTGTTCAGTACAGGGGAAATACTTTCTGAAGAAATTTTTTACGATGAGGGTGGTTAGGTGCTGGCACAGGTTGCCCAGAGAGGTGGTAGATGCCCCATCCCTGGAAACATTCAAGGTCAGGTTGGATGGGGTTTGGAGCAACCTGATCTAGTTGGTGTCCCTGCTCATTGCAGGAGGGGTTGGACGAGATGACCTTTAAAGGTCCCTTCCAACCCAAACTATTCTAGATTTTATGAGGATTCAGTAGGTGTTTAAACAGAGAGGACTCGCATAATAAAGCGAGAAGAGCTAGGTGCTATGCTGATACTTGGACTTACAGTTTGCAGACAGTGGAAATGTGACTTAAAGCCAGTCTGGAGAAGTGTTCCTTAAGTGCTTCTGAGGTATGGGGCTGGTAGCAAGAAAACTTGGTTTTGCAAGACGGCTAAGTCAGCTTTTAAAATCCAAGATTAAGATCTAGCTTTGTTTTGATTTTCTGTGCCTGGAGCAGCTCACTGAGAATTGCAAGAGAAATTATTTCAGATGACCCATGCTAGCTTTGACATGAAACATCAGCCTAGAAGTGGAACAGCAGACAAAATAAGATCTGAAAAGGGGCTGAAGTTACAGCTGTGTACTATTAGCTTGTGAAACTATCTGTTGTTACAAATATGTGAAACTTTACCTCAGATATACTAGCTTAAAACATTCTCCCCATTCCACAGAGGATAAAGAAACAGTAAGGACATAAAATACTTTGTAATGATACAAAAATCTATTACGAAGAAACACTTTGCCTGAATTGGGTGAATAAAGCATTTTTACTGAGGAAAAATATATGTATGAAAAAAATACTGTGGCAGTCTGTAGCATATAAGTAAGATCCTTCAAAGTACAGCTGAGACCGAAGTATCTTCTTTGAAAGAAAAGGCAACACAAATGTGCATGCTGCTTATTCACAGAATGTTTACATCTTCAATTTTACAAAATAGCCACATTTTCTAAAATGCTCCTCTGAAATGGCTGATTAAAAGACAGTGAACCATAGTATCCCATCAGCAGCAGTTTATCACATCTATAAATCCAATTTAAATATAGTTATAACAGGAGTGTGAGACAATAAAGAACAGCATAAGAGCTGTAAAAGGAGCTTCTAGTTGACAATGGATTCCATATATATATATTTCAAAATACCAAAATGAAGATAAAAGTTTTAAATTAAATTAAACAGTTCTGTAAATGAGTAATAAACACATATAAGACAGCACATGTGTGATCTTCTGTCCAGTTGCCTCCTGGAAGGAATGGAGTGACTTGAGACTGCAATTTACAGGATTTTCTGTAGGATGGAGTTGGCAACTTCCAGGGATTCATCTTTCACCAAGACAATATCATAAGAGTCCATGTATTTTTCCAAAAGCTCATCTACCTAATTGCAAAAGGGATAAAGACAAAGACCCACTTAGTTATACAATTAATTTCTGAAAGACTTTTTGTCATTAAAATACTGCCCAGTCTTTCCACCAAATTCAAGGAATGAGCCATGCAAACTTGTTATTGCTCCTACGAGTGAATTCCACAGGATGACAGCGTAGGAGTAGCCTGACATAACTATGTGTGCATTACAGGATATAACACCTCATATTTATTCCAGGATCTTGCACATAAAGATACTGAAAGAAAAACTACTTCCTCAGCTTCCCAAAAGGCAGAGAGAAATAGAAAACTGAAGTTTTCTTTCTCCTGAATGCAAACGGATGTGCATTATAACTTAGCAAACAATCAGTTCTGTGTCACCTCAAAAAAACCCCAACCCTAAAACAGGAGACACGGCCTAAATCTGTTATTCGGAAGATTTATAATTTTGCTCAATTATCAATCTAGTATTGAAAGGAGGGGGAGGAGGCACAGGAATTTAAGAGAATTAATTTCTCTAGCCTCTGAATTTTACTTCTCAACAAAATACCTTTTTGGAACTAGTTCAGTACAAAAAACAAAGCAATCTACATTTGTGTTTTTGTAGCTTATGCATTAGAAAAAAACTGAAGGCAAGAAATCCATGAAAAATGTTTAAAATCTCCAAACAAATATGGGCCAAAGACTTGGTTTGATAGCTGAAGCTTATTACAATGAACCTGTTTAACTCACAATGTTTCACTCAAAGTTTACAAGGTTAGATAAGGCTACTTACTTTATCATTGAGATAGCCGATCTTAAGAATGTGTTCAACATTTGCTACTCCATCTGCCATACTCAAGTCTCCTTGAGAATCACCCAGCAGTATGATATTACTGTTGTCTTTTAGTTGTTTGAAGTACTCTGTATTCTTCAAGGCACCATCATGTTTGTTGTAAACATGAATCAATTCTCCTTTAAATCCTTTTAATATTCCCTATTAAAAAACCCACTGAAGTTATTTCTAGTATCACATAGGCAAGATAGAACCTAGAATGAAATAGGTGATATTACTGTTGAACTAACACTGAACTATGTAATCTCTAATGATGAACAAGATAAATTACTGTTAAATAATGTAATGACTGTAATAGCACTGTTAAGACTAGGCAGAGAGTGATCCTCCCTGCTTGGAGGAGTAGCGCTGTACTGGGCTGAGTGTGAGGTTGTTGTTAAAAGAAATGAATGGTATCTTAGTCACACCATGCTAACAGTGTTTGAACTGTTATCTTCTGCTTGTTTTTTGCCTGTGAGAGTGCTGAGTAAGCAATTCTCATTTGCTATATGGCAGGGTAGATGGCTACATCTGTTGCATTAAAATGTTCATCTTGTAGTATATATAAATAGCTACTAAATACCACAAAGAGTCATGTTTGATAAGAATGTGTTATTTCATACATACATGTTCATCAAAATCCATGAAATTGGAAACCACTTTGACATTAGAATGGTAGACCCCAGCCTGGTGGATGACTTCCTCAAGAATGTCCCCAATCCCAGCAGAAAATATGAACACAGGAATATTATGTTCACTGAGTTTATCAAAGAAGTTCTCATATCCTTCTCTGCAACACAGAATGTAGATACAAATCAAATCTCAAACAAAGCAAGCAAAAAAAAGTCTGAGTTTTCAGAAGACATTCATGTCATCTTTGGAAAAGAAAATTAATTTTCCCTGAGCACCTCACTATTTCTTTTATCGCACCTTTTCAGGTTAGCAATAACCATCAACCTAACACAAGGCATGTAGTTTTAGCAAGAAACTTCTGCATCAAGCTGTTTGGTCTTGATCTGTATAATTTTTTCCCCAAGAACCTCTAACTGTGTTTTAAAGACTTAAAAACACTTCCTCCACCCCAAACACCCCAGAACAAGCAAGCAACTACTAAAACTCTCTCTAGTTACTATCAGGCTGTACATTTCTTTTCAATCTTTCTTGCTTAAATATTTTGCTTTCTATAGTGTTATTACCATAAAACTAATTTTGTTTTGTTTTTAAATCCTGAAAACATTTATTGTCACTCTTTCCTCAAAGTTTTTTAGTATTCAATCAAAACTACGTATAGTATTCCAGGAACAAGATAATATTATCTCTATCCACCTTCTCCATACAGACATTGATAGGTAGAATTTTACATTTAAAAAAAAAAATTATCACAGAAGTTTTTGAGGGAATTTTAGCTTGTGAATGAAGATTCAACCCACGTGGACTTAGGCTTTCAAACAGGCAGAGATGGTGTGCTTGTCTGTTTTGTGAAAGATAAGAATTTAGTCAGTATGATAAACAAACACTATTTCTTTTGTAGTACAAAATTTACAGACAATTTTGGAGAACTTTAAAAGAGATGGGAGCCAGAGCACGTTTCAAGCAAGGACTTTGTTGGCTTTTAAACTTGACTTTAGCCAAGAGGAAGAATAATATTTAACACAACATGTGAGACATATTCCTCAAGATGCTTTATTTTTATCTCACAGGGAATGTTTTTTAAAGGAACAACGTTGAACTCTACATTCCCCTTATAAAGAAGTGTCACCAGTGCAAGTTCAAGAGGATGAAGGTCTACAGAAATCAAGCTTGTACAGATGGGACTAAAAAAAAAAGTTTCAGATCTCTAGTTTATACAGTGTGATCATTGTAGGCATTTAGCCACAAGATATCAATAAAGTGGGAGCATAAAGAGCTCGCTATGTTCCAAGATTAAGCTGTCACATTCTCAGAAATGTGGTGGTTTCTTCCCCCCCCAGTAAGAATCTACAGAAAACTCTCCAAAACAGTATTGTTCAAGTCAAAAAGGACTTACTTCAGCATAACATCAGATTCCCTCACAATTTCTGCAAACTTATCTTTTTGTAAGCCTTGTTCAATGAGTAGTGCGTGAGATTTATTGTACCTAGAATAGAAACAAAAAATGGGTTGAAATTGACTTATTAAGATTCACCTTTCCTCGAATCTCATGATGAAAAGCATCCTGTATGGTTAATTCTTGCTTATTCAAGTTTGCAAAGCAAAACCAGTTGTTGCACAATACTCAGACATTAATTCAGTTAATGTGTTAGCTAAAAGCTAATTACTGCCATTAATTTGCTTTTAAAAGCTTATTAAATCTAATCTTAGTACAATTTGAAGATGGGAGGTGTCTCTTACCATTCTACCATATATGGATATTTTTCTTCAATAGTGAGAGCTGGATCAATTTCAATAGCATAATAGGTTTCTTTCAGCTGCAATAACTGAAAGGAAAAAAACTACCAGATGTTTAATGTCTTTTTATAAAATAACACTTGGTATTTGATTTAACCAATCAAAGTAACTTTCTTCATTCTGATTACATTATTTAGATAAAATGGAGTCTGAAATGCTCTTTGAACAAAGAATTAGCTTGTAAATATATCTAAGAAGAAAAAGTGGCTGCTAGTAAACTGAACTACATGCTACTAACAAGAATACAAATATTTCTGTTGACTTCTATTAGTGGTGGGATGTCTTGCAGCCAGTGAGAGAGCTCAGAGAGCTTTAAGGATTTGAAAGTATCCCTTGTCTTGTCATGCTGTGTAATTCAACACACAGTACAGCCAGTGAATAATAACAGTTGTCTGTATGACAAACCAATAGCTAGCAGGTTTTCCATTTACCTTTTTCCGACATTCCTCCGTGATGAGCTTAGAGTTATCAATGATGTCTGGAGGGTGAAAAAAAAAAAAGTGTTAAACAATATGGTATATTTCTTTTACTTTGCTCTACAACACTGTAAATGGCATGGATGACAATGTTTGATGACATACCACTATGTTTCCTCAGAACTTTTCTTACCAGCAACCAGTAAAAGGCACATTTTTCTTCATAAACATGAAGATGTCCTTCCCTCATCTCTGAATTAAAAGCTCAATTACAAGGTCTCTAACCTGTTTCTTGTGATTTAACTGTTTCTGAAATCATCATGAGGCATCCCATATGTTTTAGGATTCCCACTTCATTAGTATATGGATTTTCTTTGTTTGTTCTAAAAGGCTATGGGATAAAAATATCAAGAATTCTGAGGAGTTTACTCTCTGGTTCTTGCAGGCATCAGGACTATTATGGGCTCTTAAAAAATAAAAGTCAACCCTACCATATCAAGCCACCAACATCTTATAGTTCAGAACTTAATGTTTTAATTGTGAATGACAATTTATCTGATTTTAATTCACACAGATTGTGATTAAAATACGTATACATAAAACCACATATAGACAGTCACTAGAATACTTCATTAGAATGTACAGGTTAGGTAACAAGTCAATATAAAATCTCATATTAGGGAATAAATTGGATAGAAAAATAAAATCTAGGAAAAACTCAAAAGAATGAACAATCCGTATTAAAAAAAAAAAAAAGTACTCACTATGACAAGTTGGACATCTTTTTCCATTGTAGGAAAATCTACTTAATGTCATATCAAAATCTGTTATAATCTATTTAAGGAAAGAAAAAGCAAAACTGTCTTACAACACGGAGGGATAAAATAAAGAATGCCTAGAAATTCTGAACGATCAACAATAGTTGCAGCTGAGTATCATGTGTCACAGAAATCTCCCTATTCTATTGAACTATTGTAATGTAAGCTAGAATATCCCACATGAATAACTTTTTTTCTAACAAGCCTGTTTTTCTAATTCCTTTGGTCAGAATATTTCCTGAAATTACTAAGCTTATATGTTTATATCACTTACTTAACTAGTGTCTGGTTGAATTACAGTTGAGTCAACAAGGTCTATTAAAACAGTTAACAGATGTCTACGTTTTGGAGATTTCTTGAAGGCTGACTTCTGTTATATACATGTATTCTTAAAATCTTTTGGCATAGAACAACAATCACATGTTTGCTTTCATTCCGAACTGGTTGCACCTTCTACTATCTTTTACCTGAAGCTTGGCAGCTCCACCTTTGATGAGGCCACAAATAATTTCCTCTACTTTTTCTGGGTCCTTAATATGGACAGTTTTCTTCTGAAATTCTGGCATCTGTGAAGAGTTAAGAACAAAGACAGAAATATACTTACAGAGGAAAACTTACTAGGTAATACCAGCTATCCATCAAATTGGAAGATCTGTATCTATAAAGTTTCATGTGACGTCAAGACATGCTCAGGACAGGAAGGCAAGTTAAGAGTATGAAGATACAGAAAATATTCTGGATATATTAACTGACAACTGCATACAATTCTGTTTGCTCTCGACATCTGTTTTCATTTCCTTTCCTAATACTAAATTATTCAGTAAGCTGACACTCACAGAAAAGATAATTGTATTTGTAGGAAATAAGGGAGATACATAGAAACAGGACATATGGGATCACTTTGTGGTTCAAGTATGTTACTGGGAGATGGTGAACCTGAAAACTAGCTCTTTGTGCAATTAATACGCTCTTAAAGTTTCAACATAGATAAAGAAGACAGGCTGATTTTAGACACCTGTTTTTTTTGTTGAGAACGCTGCATGTGTCAACTGAGTATTCCAAGGCCGTAGAGTAAGTAATTCCTGCTCCCTAGCCAGTTCATCAATCATTTTCTATTACCTATTTTACTGCACAGTTTTGAACAAACATGTGCTATCCCACCACGTATTCCTTTTGAATGAAGAACATTTCTTGAATATTATGATAAATGCTGAATTTGGTAAAAAAGAAAAAAAACCCAACCAACACAAACCCCCACCGCTCCCCAAACAACACCCTCCCTGCCAAGCCTTTGCTTACTCTAAAAGTTTCTCTTCAACCTTGCAGAAGTTGTAAAAGAAGTACTTATTGACAGAAATTTCCCAATTTAGTATGTATCTCCTTCCTTTATAATCTTGTATGGACTCTCTTTAAAGCAAAGGCATCAGACATTTGCAATCTGTCTACAAGGGCATTTATGAGTAGTAAATTTTATTTTCTGCACACAGAACTTCAGAGATGATGAAGTGCTAGGAATTATATTTTTCACATTCTGATCATTCAGCTTTTCTAGCATGTAATTTTAGCTGCAATGAGCTAAATAAAATCTAAAAAAAAAAAAAAAAGCAGCTTCTATTTCCAGACACATTTCTGGAACCAGAGTTTTCATATCACCAATTGTCGCGCAACGCTTTCTTCCTGCTCTTGATGCTACTAACCCTTTTATTAATTGGCAACAACTGTCTTGCAGTCAAATTGCAATTAGGTTATCATTTAAGAAAAAGATGATGTTTTAAAGTCTTGCAAACACATGTTTTTGTAATGGAAAAGACACTGGTGTGTCAGGGAAAAGAAGGAACTGGAGAAGCCTTTAAGTGTCGGCTCTAGTCCACTCTGCCCTCAGGTAGAAGCAAACTATTACAGCTACATCATTCTCAGCAGATACTTGTCTAACCCATTCTTCAAAACCTCCACTCACATATTCCTCAACTATGTATTTTAGTGCTCAACTACCTTCATGTTCAGAAAAGTTTGCTTAATCTCTATTTAACCTTCCTTGCTGTAATTTTAGGTCATTCATCTTCAAGGAAAGTATTCTTTTTCACAGGTGCTCGCTGGATATTTTTCCCTTCTTCCTAACTAAGGAACCCCAGTTTCTTCAATCTTCTTTTGCACAGCACAATTTTCTAAACCTCTGACAATTCTTGGTGTTGTCCTAGCCCATCCATTTGAATCATATCATTCTTGAAACACAGCATCCATAACTGTGGGTATAACATTTCTGCTCTGCTCCGAAAAGGCCTCAGCTGAAGGGCTACTTTGGCCCCTGTCTTCAGATAATACCTTTGCATACATGTCTGAATACACTTGCTTCGTTAGTAGTAATACGGTGAGAATGATTCAAATTCAGTTGGTAATGGTCAAGTAGTCTTCAAAATTACTCCTAGGCAGAAACAGGTAGTTGCAGAAAGTGCTAGATTTTACATTTAGTCTTGCTGGATTGTATCTTTTCTTCCACATCAGTGCTCCCATTTCTGAATATAACAAATAATTCTAATCCACAGTATGCTTACTGCTACTTTCTGGCTGATATCCTCAAAGACACTAATGAAAACAGAAAATATAAATCCTTCTAAAACCCTAATCGTGAGTCTCTAATTTTTTAAGGTTTTCCACCCATCCAAGAAGTTTCACCTATACCAGAATATCTTGCCAAAAATTGTTAAGTCATGACAGGGTATTTACTACTACTTTGCTTTTTACGTCTCATAAAGAAACAAACTGCATTAATTTCACTTAGTTTGGAAGATTTAAGGTTTTCCTTTGACATCCTATGGCAAAGACATTTTCTGCAAAAGTTGTACCTCCTACACTAAGACAGTTGTTCTCTGTGTGGTTGCAGTGCCTTGCTACTTTTATTAGCACAGCAAATTCAAAAAAGGTACATTAGGATTGGCTTCCAACTATCAGCTACATCCTAGGCTGGGAATCATTGAGAAAGCTAGTGAGTGTTAACAAAAAACAAAATTTCTGGAAAATAGCCATTAAAGAATTGCCTAATCTTTTGAGAAATACATTTACAAATCACTTAAAGATATTTATTCACAATTATCAGCAGATCTAGCTTCATGAAATAAAACATTAACAATCTGCAACTCTTTAAAGGTGTTTTATGGTATTTCTTTTGTATATTATACAGTGCTGGTAAACAAAAGTAAACTTACCACTTGTTTGGTGGGTATACAGCATTTTTCCTCTATAATGAAAGATAACGCAATTTGACTATGCTTTGTAATTTTTTCACTGTAAATTGACTAATTCCTTTGTCTTTCAGGAGGCAAATTATATATAGACTTGGAATGCAAAAATTAAAGTGAAATCTAAATGCATGCTTTTGTAAGAAGTAGTTCAAACATTGTTTGGTTTACTTAGGAAGTCTGTTGCTTAGTATCTAATATAATGGATTTAAACAGAATATATGCTGGGAGAGATGGAGAGATCAGAGGGAGAGACTGTATGAGGAAAGTTGGATTGTTTGCTACTGTTTTATTTCAGACTGAGGCCTTTTTTAAGTTTCTGAAACAACCTGAGGAAAAACCTCTTTAGTAAACACTTTAGTAGATGATGTTAAACAAGACATTGCTTAAGATTTTAAGTATGATGAAAGCTTCCTGCTTTGATGTTGTAAACTGATACTCCTACTCAAGATCAGATTTTAAGGTTCATTTATTTCTAATACATCTTTCATTTTTACACAGGAATTGAAGTCAGATGAAGAGTATTTTAGTTTAGGGGAAAAAAAGAAAGTGTCTTCTGCAGCGAGTATAACCCAGACGATTTCAGTCTCACAAGCACTTTAATAGGCAAACCCAAGTCTTCATTATGGATATGGCATCTGATAAAGCCTCAGACAAATATGGTTAGTTGAAATAGCCACTGTCCCCATCACTAGTTCCTTGTATTCATATTTGCAAGTGAATGTTAAATAGCAATTCTTTTATTTAGGCTTTATCATTATTATATTAGAAGTAAATGAAACTGTCTAATAAACAGTCACCAGTTTTCTGGCAAACTGTCTCCTTCAATGTCTTACACTTCTGCCCAGTCCAGCTGTTGTTTTTTTTGTTGCATGTTTGCTATTCTTCAGAGTTGAAAGAGATAAGCAGATTCAAGTTGGAAAGAACTGGTAAGGCAGATTAAACAACAAAGAGTGAAAAAATGCTAATAAGAAAAGTTCAGTCAATTTGATAAAATTTGTGTTTCTATTAGTTGTTTAAGAAAGGTCTAGGAGTCAACTTGGTATACACAAAAGCGCCAAAATTCTGATGCACCATTTGACTGGGAAGAACACATATAGAGAAACAGCGAAACAAAAATCTCCACAGCACCTAACAAAGGCAAGAAAGCTTGTCAGAGCAAGGAGCTTCTACAAGCACAGGAAAAGGAATTCATATTTCACTGTGACATCTGAAAGTACATCATATTGAAACGCCTAAGTGCCCCTATTTATTCTGTCATTTTATGAAAGTGTGAGAAGACTTTTGCTTTCTTACCAAGGACATCTATGTGTTATTGAAATAGCTCAGAGGCCGGTATCTCTCTTAAAACACATGTTAAACGATGACAACTCCCAAAGGTAATTTGTGGTTGGCACATACACTGGCCACAAATACATTTAAGTTTCTAGTCTCTGTCATTTTTAAGGAGCCTTCAAAGAGAAGCAAGGAGAACAAAACTGAAAAAGGTTATTTGAAAGGTTGAGCTTAACTGGATTTATGACAAGGGAAGAAAGATCTGCTTGTTTATGACAGCTACAAAAGAATTTCCTACATCCTTATTCCAGTTACCTGCTAACTGTTAGAGTCATACCTTAAAGAATTAACAGTAATGGAGTCACGCAGGTTTGGAAATCCCTCAGTCCTACAAACCACAGAACGGGTCATTTACAACAAGGATAGTTCTGAAAATTACAAGTCTACTTAGTACATGAGACATGCATCTTTGTAGCTGGGTTAAATAAAGAGGAAAAGTATTTACTGCAAAGACTGTATTGAATTCTAGTTTTGAAATATAGTTTCTTATATACAATTGGATAGTAGAAGTGCAAACAGATGCTTTTATGTTGTATCTGGGTGCTGCTTATATATATATAGTTTTCTTAGTATTTGAGACAGCGTATATCTAAGTGCATGCTGCATCAGTTCGATTATAAAACAAGAGTTGGTGATAATCACTCAAATGGAAGGCAGGTATCTAAGTGAATTCACAGCTGCCATAATAGGCATTTCCAATCAGGTATCCGAGGGAATTAATAACTGATTGTGTGCACAAGGTGTAATGTCATCTTCTGGAGTTAAGATTATACTGAACTTTTGAATCCACTGAGAGCTGGAGGTAGAGCAGTTACTTCCCTCCCCCTATCCAGTAAAACAACAATGTAAGTCCCTATGATTAAAAAAAAAAATATAGAAAAGATTAAAAAATAATGTCCAATAAAAAAGGAAACTTAATATAAAGGACGACTGTGGCACCTTCTGTTTTTTCATTATCTGCAATTTTAAGTTAGGAAGGATGAGCTGAGTGACTT